CTTTTTTTCCTTTTTCTCCTTTCTTCTTTTTCCTTTCTCCTCTTTCTCCTCCTTCTCCTCTTTCTCTTTTTTCCTTATTTCCTTTTTCGTTTCCTTTTTTTCCTTTTTTCCTTTTTCCTTTTTTCTCTTTTTTGTTAAATTTTTATTACCATAATGGTAGGATATAGTACTGGAGGGGGAGGGGAATGGAGCCAAGGTTCTTAAAGAAGATAATTCTGACTCTTTAATCGTGTAGGCGTTAAATAAGAAACTATTATAACAGAGACTAGTCCTGTGCCTCTTGACTGAGAAACCCCACCTGGAGCTTTTCTTTTCCTCCACTTTGGATAATGCAGAATAATTTCTAAGCGCTAGGAGTAACTGAGCAGTGTAACACACACCCCCGTCCCATCCTTTGATCTGTTAAATGTGAACTTGGAGGATCCCTGCAGCATCCTTTGTTGCAGCATTAGCACTTGTGTATTGAGGCGATGGGCTCACTGAGAACACCTCAGCCGACTGCCAGTGGCACCTCGTAAGGGAAAAGGGAAGGGAAAGACCTTTGATCTTTGCCTGATGGAGGAGATCTTGTTTTAACGAGCTGTTTGTGTTAATACGATTAATGCAAGTGCACTCCAGCGCTTGGCTGATGACTCTTTTGGCTCTCTTTATTTCTTTTGTCTTCTTTCCTTTTCTGTTTTCTGAAGGTGACAGGGGCCTTTTGGAAAGGTATTTGAAAGCCGACTTGTCTCCCCTGGCTGTGCCAGACCGCTGTCTGATTCAGTTTTGAATGCTCTGGGTATGGGAAAGTGCTAAAGGTGGCAACTGTTGTATGGGGGCTTTATTTAAACAGGCAAATTAGATAAAGGGCACTTGCCTGTTCGTTAGTAAGTTAATTCACTCAGTTAACCGGGTCTGGTTCAAGCGGAAAGGGAGCTTTTTATTATTATTTTGTTGAAAGTGAAAATTCTCTTTTTGTAGGGAAAATGCCCCATTTCGAGCAGCCGATCTCTGTGTTTTTGGTGATGGTCTCTGAGGCTGTCGTTAGCCCGAGAACCCCATCCCCGGGAGCCTGGTGGTTCTTGCTAGACTTTAGCTGTTGCTGGGTTCTTGCCTTGCCTTGGAGGGCTCAGACAGGTATTTTACATCCCTGACTCCAGAGCTCAGCCCGCCGAGGCCTGGTGAATTATGCTGGCTATGCATGTGGCTTGGGGGCAAGGAGTTGGTTGTGTTATTCATGGGCACTCCCTTCCAGCGTGCCAAGGAGCAAACTGGGTACTTGTCTGCAAAGGCAATTATTTCACAAGAAAGTTGCTGTAGGGAGCAGCAGGAGCCAACATGGTTAATAGAGAGAAAAGATTTCCCTTATCTTTTTTTTTTCCTCTCAGCGTGTACGTCCCTCTTAAACCATTTCTCAGCCTGATCTTGCCTCTGAAATAGGTCTGGTGCTTCTGGCTAAGCTCGACTTGCCCCTGGTGTGAAATGTTGCCTGAGTCAGGTGGTTGCAGGCTGCCACAGCAGGTGAGGAGCAGGCAGCAGACCGTGTTCCCGCTTTGGTTGGGTTTACATCCCACAGCAGGCAAAGCAGAGGGGAGCCGGAGCGTCCTAATGTGCAGTCTGAGGGCCAAATGACAGCTCCCAAAATCGCTCCCACGTGGGAGCACTGAGGGTCCCTTGCAGGCTGTGAGTGGTGTGTGCTGCCCCCGACTCATCCAAGCACTGGGGGGACTCGTGGGAAGGGGAGACTTTGCTGCATGAAGGTTGGACTTGGCATTTCTCTTTTTGGAAGAGGAGAGTGCTTCTAGCTCGGATTTAATTTTTTTTTTCCCAAAGAAGTTTGATGGAGCTGATAGCTGTGCTGTGGCAGAGGCTCCCGCAGCAGTAACTGGGATCACTTGTTACTGGCACAGGGCACAGACTGCGGCTGGGGCAGGATTTGTCTCCAGGTGTTTTCCAGGCGACAGAGCTTTTTGCCTTGCAGAGGGTACAAACATCTTCTGATCAGCTGTTGCAGTTGCTGAGAATGTGCTCCCTGAGCTTTATGTTTAAACCTTGATATCTCCCAGGAGAGTTGGTCACCCCAAAACGCCTGCACAGGGGTAGGGGAGCATCAAAGCAATGTGATTTTTTTTTTTTCTTTCAAAGTAGGACCCTCTGCTTACCAGGCATCTCTGTTAAAACTTCTTCCTGTTACTTCAGGTACTGCTCTCCATTAAATAGCATACACATCTTGGGTACGTTGCAGGAGCTGTTGTGAAATAAGAGAGGGTCTGTTCAGGAAATATGACCTGTCTGACCTCCCTGTGTCCTCCTGTGCATCGGTGGGTGACAGCAACAGTGATGTCACCAATTGTGAACAATTACCCACAGCCCAAAGCTGCTCTGGGTATTGTTCATTGTCACTAATAAAGCAGTTTTTTAGAGACCGAAGGTTCTTTCACCAACCATTTGTGGCCCTTCTTTGTGGGCACAGTCAGACTGGGGAGAGGACACTTGTTTCCTCTTTTCAGTTCAATGCCCAGCGGGTCCCTCTGGGCTGTTGCAGAAGTGAGTGAGGTGCAGGAGAAGGGCACAGCAATTAAGGGTCTTGACCTGGGAGGCTGCAGCTTGGACTGAGTAACACTTAACCCTCCACAGGGTCAGGCTGAAATGACCTGTAAACAACCCGGGGTGCTCATTACACCTGCCAGGACCGGGCCTGTTACATCATTTAAAATGGTGCACCGGGAGTTTTTGGCATCTGCTGGAGCTGAGTGAGCACAGTGTCAAATCTGTATTTCGAGGACAGGGAGGCTTTTGTTGTGCCTCCCTGGCTACAGCAGGCAGCTTGCTCCCCTAAATGGTGGCTCCCAGGGATTCCTCTCCCAACACTTGGGTCGGTGCATGGCCGCTGGAGCAATGCTGTCCGTGCTCTCTCCTGATTAACTCAGCCTTATGACTCACAAAAAGTTAATGACTTTAGCCCAAGGACTTACAGCAGTGGTAAATGTGGGCTCTGCATGTATTGTCCTCGTTCTTAACAGCACAGCATAAACATCAAAGCAGGGAGATGGGCTTTGTGCTCGGGATATTTGCACTGTGGAAGTGTGTGCCTCGCCTGTTTTTCATCCTTTAGAAGCATAAAAAACAGAGTTGGTAAACGTGGAAATACACCTGGAGTGCAGGCTGGGGAGGTGTAGCATGGTTCAGTCAAGTGGGTTATAAGAAATGTTTTGTGCACGTCTGGTGGGAGGAAAAACATTTACTCCATCCTTCACCTTCCCTTCTCTTGCCCAGGGAGCGCATGGAGTTACTGGAAGAAGCCAGGAAGATGGAAATGGCAAAGTTTCGCTACATCCTCCCTGTTTATGGCATCTGTAAAGAGCCGGTTGGCTTGGTCATGGAATACATGGAAACAGGATCTCTGGAAAAGCTCCTGGCTTCCGAACCTCTGCCCTGGGAACTGCGCTTCCGCATCATCCACGAGACAGCCGTGGGGATGAACTTCCTGCACTGCATGTCCCCTCCACTGCTCCACCTGGACCTCAAGCCTGCAAACATCCTGCTTGATGCCCACTACCATGTCAAGGTATGCACTGGACAGTCCGTGCCAGGGACCCACCTTTGGATATTCCTGCATGGCTCCTGCCAGGTGCAAAAAGCCTGGGAAAAACCAGCAGCATTCCTTTTGAATTAGAAAATGCCCACTGAGCCAACCTTGCCAATCTCCAAATTTAAATCCTGAGATTAGCTCAGTTGGTTAGAACATGGTGCTAATAACACCAAGGTTTTGGGTTCTGTTCCTGTCTGGTCCATTCACTTAAGAGTGGGACTTGATGACCCTTGTGGGTCCCTTCCAACTCAGAATACTCTGTGAAAATATACCCAAATAAAACCCAAAACTAAATCCACCTGATTATGCACCATTTTGGTACATAAATAGAAGTACAGTTAGCAAACTTGTGAGAACTCCCCTGAAATTTTAGAAGGATGCAGTGAACTCTGGTTTTGAGACCTGATGGGTCCTGCTATAAATTTTCTCGCAGTAGGGCCATGAGGCAGATGAGAACAAAGAGAGAAAAGCAATGTGAACCTCTAAATCATCTCTGCCACTTGCACAGCTCCCAGTGGTTGCCTTGTTCTGTCTGGGTCGTCCTGGCTTTGTATGCACCACTAAATATGCAAATCTCATTTACAGCTGGAGTCTGGAGAAGCCTTCCCAGAGGCAACTCATTTTGCCCTTTCATTTGCTCAGAGCATGTACAGTGAACAAGCATCTCTGTCCTGACTGTTTGTGTCTGCCAGAGGTCACTTAAAGGAATTTTTTGTGGCTGTAACAGCATGAAATTCTTTTTGTTATCCATTTCCAGAGTAAGCCAGCAAACTTGTTAGCCTTCTCTGTTGGAGGTTCTGTTTTGACAGCTGGACCAAGGAAGTTGTGCTTGCTTTCTCATCTTTCCTTTTGGAGAGGAAACAGACTGAAATAGAGCTTTTTCCTGGGTTTTTTAGGACTGGGTTTTTTGTTTTTGTTTGTTGTTTGTGTGTTTAGCAGTGCCATAATCCATCTGCTCCTTGTTTTCCTGCCCTCCTCACTGGTCAAGTGGCTTTGGTCTGCCTGTACCCTTCTGAAACTGAAGTTTTCCTTGAATAAAGACATCTCTCCTGATGTCACGAGAGGGTTGGAGCCACGAGAGGAGTGAGCCTCTAATGAAATCACACCTGTGACAATCTCAGCTTTTTTCACTGGGCCTCTGAGTGCTTTACTTCTTAGAAGAATTTTCTTTCTGAGGCAGGAGGCATCTACAGGTGGTCATGCTATTAATACAGGAACATCAGGATCTGAACTGCTGAAAGCCTGTTCTCACACATTGGTGCTGAGAGGCCTGTGCTAGGTATTTATTTACTTAAAGTTCATGCTTGCTTGCATAACTTCTTAAATTCCTAATTCCTGACTCATCCATGAGCCAAGATATGAAGGCTGTATTTTTCTCACTGTTTCAGGAGGTTGAAATGCCTGATATTCTGCCTGCTGTACAGCCTATATCTGGGTGGTGATGTAATACGAGGGGGCAAAGTGCAAAATGTACAAAAACTAAAAAAGTTTCTGGTGAGGTCATTGCTGACATCCCTAAACTGTTGCTACTCACTCATGAAACGCATGAAGGTCTTCAGACCCTTCCCATTAAGTTCAGAAAAGAATGGTCTAATCCAAACCTTTTCCAGCCAACAGTCCTTTACATCTGCAGGCATCTTGGGAACCCCTCCAAGCAGCAAAGCAGACCTAGGAACCTATATGCAAAACAAGAGATGAACGTGTTCTGTGAGGCGCCTTCACTTTAAAAGTGTGGCCCCAAACCTTCTTTTTGTGTGATGTGAAACTCATAATTAAATTTCAGACCCTGCAGCTTGATTTAATGTGAATTTTCTTGCTGGAAGGCTACTGGAGCTGCTGATGGAGGTGTTTTTTTAAATGTTAGCATTAACTTAGTAGGTGACCTGTCCCTAACAGAATCCTGAGGTGAGTGAAGAGATGTTGCACGCTGCAAAAGACGAGTTTGGAGATAGGGAAGACTTTTATAAACTGTTTGCCCTTGAGCCAGGAAACAGCCAGCCTTGCAGTGGAGCACATTAGAAATGCTGCTGTGCCATACTCGAGTTAAATGGCAACACACCCTCCTTCTTTTACGAGGACAGTGCTCACTGTAAAGCCCCGAGTGAGGCTGATGACTAACACAGTGCTGTTCTACAGAACTTATCATCAAGTGGGTGCCTCCATATCATAAAGCCTGTGTCTTACATAAGTGTGTGCTGAATTTTGTCCTTGGGAGGGTAATTAAGAGGATGGGATTAGCCCGAGCAGGGATATAGATAGAGAGATATTAACTTTACCAAAGGCTCGTTGGGGGATTCCTTGGTGGTTTAAAATACATGGGTATACTATGTGCAACACAAGGTGAAGCTTTGCTGCTTTTTGGAGGATGGATTCATGCATCCTCCCTTGTGAGCTGGTGGTGGGACCTCCCTTCCCTGCCATGTCTTGCTCCATCTTGGTTGCCTTAAGCAGTGTGGTTTCCTTGGGAGGATTATCCCATACCCAGGCAGGCTTTGTTAGCAGGGATCAACCTGCATTTTTTCTTTTCCTTACTATCAACCTCTTGCTTCTATTTGTACCAAGATCCTCCCTGCCCCTTTCTCCAGTGCATATATGCAGCCTTCCAGTATTTACAGGCTGTTCAATACCTATTTTTTGCTTAACTCCCCCACGTCTTATGAGCTGCTTCTTCATCTCTCCTGCCCTCCGTGCACGTCGTTGGTTGTCTCCCCTGAGCTGCCTGTGATGTGGCAATCACTGGCACAGGGGAAGCAATGCCACATTCCAGCACTGCCCTCGTGGGCTGTGGGTTTGCTGTGATCCCTTCTTGGATGTGATCTCTGTCCAGGGGCCCTTTGCAGGAGACTAAACACCCCACCACGTGCAGAAATCTCATACCCTGACTTGTTGCCAGCTGCCCATGCCCTCGTGCTCTCTCTCTCTGCTGCTTCCCAGGTTTCTTATCTTCAGTATCTCATGGTCAAGAGTGTTGGTTTTTGCTCAGGTATTTAAAATGAAGTCAACCCGCAGCCTAGTACTTCAGGGCAAAAGCCTTATTTTTGAGTTCTCGCTTCTCTTGATCTCCAGCTTTATTTTTTGCAGCTCCTCATCTTGTCATATATATGTGTACACACACACAGATACATGTGTATATGTGTGGGTTCATGCACACACAGAGGCAAGCCCGACCAGTTATTTTTCATCTCCCAGATTTTGCTTTTAAAGAACTTGAAGCAGAATGAGCTGCCCTCAGCTGTGCACTGCTGTGAGGTCACTGTAGTTGCTTTTATCCCCTCCCCAGTTCTCCAGTTTAAACCAGTGTGGAGAGTGAAGTTTGCTGCTGTGTTGTACCGTGCTGGTGGTCTTGCTAAACATGGGTGGTAGAAGTGATCTTCACTTTTACTTGATTCAGCTGAAGAAGAGGCTGCAGAATTTCTGAGCATGGATTTAGAGGCAGCCTAGTCAGATGGCAAATTTCTTGATCAGAAATCTTAATGTAGGTGGTTAAGTGTAGGTCCAAGTGATACCCAGAGGCCAGGCTGGTGAAGAGCAGTTGTCTCTCTTTATTAGAATACCTGCTGTAGTTAGCACAGCCACTTTGTTATCAGCTGCAATTGCTCTGCTGTTATTAGAAATGAGGAGAATCTTTATTTTGTGTGTCCCTTCTGGCTGTTTCCCACCCTTCCTGATGAAGGTTTCCATACAGGGCTGTTGTTGTATGGCTCTTTAATCCCAACCAACAAAGCTGGTTTGCACCTTGATCAATTCTCTGATTGATCTAATTGTGGTGGCACAGGGGAGGGAACAAAACCACCCTTGTTACAGTAATGCAGATTTATAATGGATTAAAATGGATGTTTGGCTTTGGTTCGTGCTGAAGAGAAGCATTACAATTGTCCCACCTGAAATGGGTTTTGAGGAGTTAAGGTTTCAGGGCAGACTGGAAAAGATGGAAATATAGCCTGTTTCAGAAAGACTTCTTTTAGTAGCTAACTGAAGTGTGTTCATAAACACTGAAGTAATGAAATAGGTTTGAAGTGCAGATGCTGGTTGTGTCTATACCTGGAGTTAATTTTTAATCATAATTTTTAGTAGTCCAAACGTGTGCATATTTCTTAAAAATTTTTGTCTTTCTTAAAGAACAAAACTGAAACAAAGAACCTTTCTCCCCTACCCCCAGAAAAACCAACCAAACAAAGCAACTCTCCCACCCCCAGACATCTGAAAACCCTGTAGACAAATGTGGTGGCATTCTCAACATGCAGGTGCACAACAGACTTTGGACAGAGACAAATACTGGATGTGCCAGCAAGCGATTAAAAATTAATCTGATGGATTTGTTACCTATTTGAGGAAGAAAATCTTTTGTTGAACTCTGTCCCTGAGCCCGTGGCAGTGGGTTCTTGAGTCTTACTTGCAGGAAAATGCCATGCAGGATCAGGAGCTATGGGCTCATTTAGGACATTAGGAGCTAAGGGCACAGTTCAGGATGGTCTGTCAGGAGTCATTAGTTAAAGAAAACACTTTCCAAGCACTGATTTCCAAGCTAGATCCCTGCAGTGTTTGGGAACAGCTGACTGTAGAAACCATTGTAGTTATGTGAGCATATCTTCTAGTTTAAAAAAAAAAAAAATTACAAAAAGTACTTTAACATACCCAAACCATCTAAAACTTTGCAAGTGAGTGTTTTTCTACAAACCAGAATGGAAAAAAAAACCACAAACGACAGAGGCAGAGAAAGGCCAGTGTGCACGGTGCGCTCGAGTTAAAACAAACTAAACTTAAAAAAAAAAAAAGAAAGAAACCCAAATCTTCAGGTCTTGGGATCTCTCGGTAAAGTCAGTGTTGCTGGGAAGGAAGGAAAACACGTGCAGCTCCCCTCCCCAGCCGGTGCTCACGTGTTTGTTCTCATGCAGACCTTTAAGGAGCGGAGCTGTCTGAACATGAACCATCCCACTGTCTGCGTGGGCTCTGACCAAGGTTTCCTTTTCTCTTCTTCCTACCCCTTCACCGCGGGTTTTGCATGAAGCCTCTGTCGCCTCCGTGTCTCCTCTCAGCTCTGCTGATCCCAGGGGTGCTTTTGAAGCACGGTGGGACCCACCTGGAATAAAAATAAGCGGTGCGAGGAGCGAGACTGCGGGTTCGCAGGGCAGATCCCGGGGTGGGCTGCAGGGATAGCGGGGATGCAGAGGAGGGAGTGGGGAGGGCTGCTCCACTTCCACTGCCTGCACCAGCAAGGGTGCCTTGTGTTGCAGAACGAGGTACCTGGCAAGCAGTTTAAAGGCAAAATAGGTAAGTTAAGTGGCTGTATCTTCCACCCACTGCGCAGTTCCCACTGGTGTTTAAAGAAACTGCATAACTAAACACACCGTGCAGTTGTGGAAAATTTACCCTAAAGGAACTAATAAAAGCCACAAAAAGCTGTCTGCAGAATCTCACTGTTTTGTCGCAGCCTGCAAGATAAACAATTCCCCAATTTCCAGTGCTTTCTGCAGGGTTTGGTATGATCAAAGCCCTGCTCTTCAGGTGAATTTCCTTTTAATTGGTATAAAACGCAGTCCTTCACAGTAGGTAGGGGCAGGTCCACAAGGTGAAGTTTTTGGTAGGCTAGGGGGGATATTGTGTGTACTTTAGCCATTTCTTAGTTTGTAGGGTGACTGAGACTTTTTCTATCCAACGTGCTTAGCTCCTGCCTTAGCCCCCAGCCTTACGTTCCCACATGGCTGGTGGCTCTGAACGCAGGAGTGCCACTGTGCTGCCTGCATTTCATCTTTATTTCTTAACTGACACAGGAGGAAACGCTGTGCATTGTTTAGACAAAGAGGAAGGTGAATGGCTGTAATTATGCCTGGATTTCTTGAGGTGTATCCAAGCCTCTGCTCCGCGTTAATCAAAGGACAGCGGCGCTTCTCCGAGTCGGATCCGTTCAGACTTGCAGCGTTCGGTTCATTCCTTACCCTGACACCACGGGGCTGTGCTTTTGTTCTCCCGTGCAGCACTAAGTGCCCCAAACTCATGCAGCGCTTCCTGGGGTGGTCGATTCAGCTCTTCCCAGAGTTAAGCTGGATCGCAAACCCGGGTTTCTTGACTCCTTGCGGCTTTCCTGAACTCCACTGCTTGGCTTGTTGAGGAGTCCAGCAATCCCCCACTGAGACTGTAACCCCACAAGAACTATTCCTCCAGCTAACTACACTTTTTTCTCTTTTTCCCCCTTTTTTTCCCTTTCATTTTTTTTTCTCCACTCATTCCCACATTACCCCGCAGATTTAAGACACAGATGGACAGCAGGTTGGATATACCTGTGTGCTAGTGGACAGGACTTCTCCATCTCCTGAGAATGCCTCTGTTGAGCTCTCTGTCCATGGGAGAGGTTCTTCCTGAAGCTGTGTGGGTTGCTTTGTTTGTTTTATGGCAAAGGGAGATTCCTAGCATGGCTGTGTAACCTGCCTGTTCTCCAGGAGGCTGAAGCTGGCAGCAGTTTTCTCCCTTTCCAGTAATGGACACATGTTACAACTGGTTTTGTGGTATCTTTAGAGAGAAACTTCTGAAAGTGTAAAGTCGCAGCCTATTAAAACAAAAAAAAAAAAAAAGCTTTTTTTAATTATGCTTGTTGTTTTGAGGGAGAACTTTCTCAAAGGAGAAGCTGTGAAGATCAAAAGGGGAATGAGTCACTGAAAGACCTGAGTATTTATTAGATAAAAAGCATGTATAAGTCAGGATGAGGGGGAACCTTACCTAACATGTAGGCAAAAATCAGTGGGCTGAGTGGTCCAAAAAGACTTGACTTTCCTTGAAATTTCCACTTAACATAATAGACATTTTTTGTCCAGTGGGAAATAACTAAGACAAAGGAAATTCCTTGCCTATCTGTTTGCTCAACGATTGGTATGCCCTTGAGAGCAAATGAATGCATATTTGTTTGACACTTCAAATTAAAGTGGAGGTGTGTCCTTTTTATATAAACTTGCTGTCACTTGTTTTGTTCATTTCAGCTGCGTTCGCTGCGTCACTGCTCCAACTTGCTGCATCTCCTGGTTGCCAGAAAGAATTCCCTGTGTGGGTTTTGGATGTGTGTGTGTGTGTGTGTGTGTGTATGTTTTCATCTGTTTTTTTTTTTTTAACATTTGGTGGCTCTGGTGTTGGGTTTGGTCCTTGTTGGCAAGGCCACTGTAGCAGTGGTGTCTGAAAGGGCAGTTCTCTAGAGCTCACTGGAGAGCCCAGGATGTTTAAACACAGCACACAACGTGAGGTTACGTAGGGAAAGGGGGTGGCAGGACCAATAATTACATTAAAGTAGTTTGCACTACCTAAATTTGACTGGGTTTAAATTACAATAAATTGTCTTGACTGTTTGTTGTGTTTGCTGTGTAATGGGCTGACATGCTGCTGCTTGCAAAAACTGCTTGCCTTTATTTTATTTGCTTCTTTTAGCTTAACCATCAAGAAAATCCTACCAGGGCATTACGCTTCCAGAGATGTTTTCTTGGCTTAATATTTCTGAAGAGCAGCTCACTGTATTTGTTGGGTCATCCTGTTACACCTGTAGTTCTTTGCTGAAAATTTTTTGTCAACACCTTGAAAAATCTAATGGTACCCTGTACTTTTCTTCTCCTCTCCCCTCCTCCTTTTTTTTTTTTTTTTTTTTCTGCAGATTTCTGACTTTGGACTTGCAAAGTGCAATGGCTTGTCCCATTCCCATGACATCAGCATGGATGGCCTGTGTGGCACAATTGCCTACCTTCCTCCAGAGCGCATCAAAGAGAAAAACAGGTGTTTTGACACCAAACATGATGTGTACAGGTCAGTTAACTACAAAACCAGTTAAAAACACTGTTGGTAATGCTGTAAAATGAGCCCTCTTTTTCTGGTTTTAAAACCTAATGAAGTATGAAACCCCTAAATCTAGTTAGAGCCTCACGTTGCAACGTGTCACATTTGCTTTGCTTTTTGCAAAGCCTTTACAGGGTAGAGGCCTTTTAAAAAAAACTGCATCTGATCCTTGGTCTTGAAGTTATTTATTAGCAACTGGCATGGGAGGCACTCTGCCCACCTTTAATGTCCCATCTAAAAGTACATCTTGACCTACTTCTTGAGTCTGTGACAGAATTCTTAGTTATCTTCAGTGGATTTCATCACTAGGTCTTTGGCTGTTCTTTCATGACAAGATGATTAGGAAAAGGAAATCAGAGCTGTAGATTAAAGAGATATGTGTTATTCTAAATGGAATGTATTTCTTTAAAGTCGTCTCACAGGGTAAAAGCATTAAATTAAATCCACTGTAATGCTTTGCTGCTCTCTGATTTTGTCAGTGTTGATGTGGGGTAGTTGGTAAATGCTACCAAGAACTTGGCAGCCTCCAGCAAGTCCCTCTGTTCGCTGCCTCAGGTTCCTCCCTGCAAAAACTTGACTTTGAAGTCATGGTTCTTGGCTGCATCTTGCTGTGTGTGTTCAGCTGAATTAGATGCAGAAGTGGAGGGACAAAGAACATAACCTAGGAACTTAGAAAAATAAATTATACTTCTGTGGGTTTTTTTGGCTTTGTTTAAAAAAATAAAATTTAAAAAATGCTATTTTCTAGCAATAATTTTTCTAGAAAAATATTTAGCAATAATATTTCTAGAAATAATTTTTCTGCTTTTTTATTTTTGGTAGCTTTTCCATTGTGGTTTGGGGAGTTCTTACACAAAAGAAGCCTTTTGCAGGTAAGTTGTGGGTTTGTCTTGGAATTTTTTTCCATTTTCCCACTGATAAGCACGCTTCCTGCCCCACCAGCCCCAGATTATGTGCATGACCTCCAAAGTCCTGCACACTTGCGTGGTAAACCCTTTTAAGTTCTCCAGTTCTGATCACAAATATAAGTCCTCCTGTGTCCTACTCATAAAAACAGAGCCCATATTGCTGCAGGGGCCCTTGTCTGCCCCTTTTTGCTCCCGCTGGCGTTTGCTGCACAAACCTCCACGTTGGTGTGTGGCCTGCTCAGACTTCTGATATACTGGCAAAGCCAACCTGGCAGGCAGCTCTGCTGTTTTCTCTCTGTAGAGAAGTTCTGTAGTTTATTTGTAGATTGTGGGTACAGATTTGTTCCTTTAAAAAAAAAAAAAAAAAGGCAAGCTGTCTGTGAGAATAAGCCTTGTTCCACCCCACAGTAGATGCACCTCTCAACAGGCAGCTATTTATTCTTTATGACTTTTCCTGTGTCTGTGACTGGTCTATGTATAGCAGACATGTCTGAACAAGTTCCAGTCTACTATTAATTTTTCCTCCCTGTGAGAGATTCCGTTTAGCCCAATGGTTGATTCACAGTCAGGGGCCACATTACGGCACTTCTTGATTCGTGTTCTTCCTTCACCTCTATGAACAGTTCAGGTACTTGCTCTAAATAAAACTTAAGGTTCAGTTTTCTCGCAGCAGATATGGAAATACAAAAGAGAGGTAGCAAAGAAATGTTTGAGGTTTTTTTTCTCTGGTTCTGTGTCTTTTTTTTTTTTTTTGGATGGAGAAGGAGCACAGTAGCTCATGGACAATTGTTTTTAACTGATACATGGGAGAGCAGGTGTTACTGCATTGAAAAATGTATTGTGGGAGAAGACAACCATCTTTTTTCCCCCTATTGATAAGAACTCCGGAAAAAAATGCATGAAAACAAAATTTCAGCACTCTTAATGCTCTTAGACAAAAGAGAAATGATTCCTTTTGCTGGGAGTTCTTAATTTGTGTTGCCTTTGCTTTACAGAGGAAAACAACATTTTACATATTATGGTAAAAGTAGTTAAAGGCCACCGCCCAGAGCTACCTGCTGTTTCCAAATCCAGACCTCACTCATGTAATAACTTGATCAAACTGATGCAAAAATGTTGGCAAGATGATCCTGGTGAACGGCCAACATTTCAAGGTAAGATTTCCTCGTAACTTGGCTCCCCATTTATTCTTCTGTGAGTCACGTTATTGCTCAGGACTCTGCTAATCCTTGGGGTAAATGCTGTGAACCTCTGTGACAGAATAAATAGAGCACATTGTGTGGCAGAGACAATGATACAGGCCACTTACTCATTTGTGGAGGAAGGGATTATCTGAGGACATGTCTGACCATGACTGTGTTATGTAAACGGGTCAGGAGCAAGCCTGGTACTGAACCAGTTGATCCATTTAGCCAGAAATTGTGATCATTTCTGATTGTGTGTGTTGGGGCAGAGGGCAAGCTGGAGTTGGTGTGGTTTTCAGGTTTTCACCATACCAAAGCACTGAAAGCCCTGGCTCTTGAAATTTGCTCTTGTGTGTTGAGAAACTGGATTATTTTCTTGTAACAGAACAATTTGTACCGTCATTTTTCTTCAACAAAAGGCAATTCCGGTGAAAGGCTTGAACTTGTCCAAAGCACCTGTTAGGAATTCAAACGTGCAGAAGGACGTAGCAAGTGCTTCCACCATTTAGCATTAATGGGAGAGATTTGCCTCTTCCCTCTCCTTATGCTCAAACAAGGAATGGGGACTGAAGGGACCCCATATTTTAATAAACATGTCGAAGTCTGCCAGCACTGCATTGGTTCTCATTTCACAGTCAGTCCTGCAGCGTAGCCACTGTGTAACACCAGTCTGGTTTGAATGTAAAAATTAATTGTTTGTGCACTCTTGTGCCCACTGATGAGGTGTTAGGTGGAATAGTCAGAACTGGAGTCTTTCTCTCACAGTATCTCAAAGCTGTTAAGTTCTATTGCCAGAGAGAGGCAGCAGGGCATCTCAGAAAGTCTCCTGTAAGAAAACCCTAAAACCTTCTCTTACTTTCTTCGAAGAAATCACTTCACAAACAGAGGCCCTCTGTGAAAAACCAGAAGATGAAACAAAAGAGATGATAACTCAGGACCTGGACACCAAGAATTCCCCAGAGCAGCAACCTGAGGTATTTTCTCTTTCACTTCTTGTTCAAACATGATGGGTTTTGTGAGGAACAGTTTCCTCTGTGACCTGTAACGTCCCAAGCAACCTTCTCTTTGCTGCTTTTGAGCACTGCCTTGCCTGATAGAAATGGTTCTTGGTGAAGGACTGGAATGCCAAAGTGACAGCAGGAGCATGGAACAAGCTCAGGAAAACCTCAGTGCAGCACCAAATGCAAGTGGATCTTACTCTGTTGAGGGAGAGCAAGACAGTTAGGAAACAAAGGCTGGAATGATGTGGATGTTACTGATCTTAAAAACCACTGCAGACAGAAGAGCCACATAGCTTTACTGGCTGTGTGAGTACTGATGGAAGCTGCCCTCCTGCTTCTGGAAAAATTTCAGCGACCTGGTTCATAGTTTTCATTTAATACAAATAGTCTGTAAAGGCTACCTGCAAATTAAGAAATTTGTGTTTCTTCTCTAGGGCCTCGTACTCAGTTTTCTTTGCTGACCCTTCTAAAATGCTTGTGTGCTTCTCTTGAAGGGGATTTGTGCACTGTCCCAGAAGAAACAGGAGCCTGCTCTACCGTCAGTTAAGGATTACAGTCTCTCAGAGTTATTGTCCCAGTTGGATTCAGGGATTTCACAGACTATGGAAGGCCCTGAGGATCTCAGCCGCAGCTCTTCTGAGTCCAAACTTGCCTCCAGTGACAAGCGGCTTTCAGGAGTTTCATCTGTAGATTCAGCTTTTTCATCCAGAGGCTCCCTTTCCCTTTCCTTTGAAAGGGAGAGTTCAGGTAATGGTCAAGTTTTTCTTTGTAGTTGTTTGGACTGGGGCATGGGAGTCAATGGGTTGGAGAGTAGTCATGTAAAGAATAACATTCTGGAAATTACTGTTAGCCTTGCTTTCTCTTGCTGTCAGCGCTACAAATTTGTTTACTGGAGGTAGTTATTTAAAAGAAAAAAATAAATATAAATAAAAAAACATTATGTGGTTCCCAAATGTGATCTAATGAGAAATAATAAATCTCATTTACTCTTTGAAAAGGAGTGACCTGAACTCCCATCAAAGCAGTTGCAGAATCAGTCATGTAGAGGTTGGTTTGGAAGGGAGGTCACATAGTCCAGCATCCCGCTTCAAGTGGGATTAAAGCCAATGCCCAGTCAGGTCAGCTGAGTTTGTGGCTGTTTCAGTTATACCAAGCCTAAATCTGAGCACCTTTGTTTTTGCAGAAGGCTCAAGCCACCCTCTCAGCAGCCCCTGTGAACAATGTAATAAAGCCCCCCTCACTTTTCAGTCCAGTGCTGCAAAACCCAGGCATCTATTTTCCAGTTGAGTAAACAATGATTAGCACAGGGAGATCAACCACAGCATCCTCTGGTCTTCATGTCACAAGAAACAGAGTTAGTGGGGTTCCAAATTTGACCTGAAATTGTTCTGGGACAGTTGTGGGACAGAAGGGTGGATTGGTTTGCAGTCAACTCATTGCTGAAGCCAGCATATTTGTTAGCCATGGCCAGGTAAGGTTTGATGGGTATCAGAAATGTGATGATGTCTTTTCCATGGAATTATAGGACAGTTGGGGTTAGAATGGACCTTTAAAGGTCATCTAGTACAACCTCCTTACAATGAGCAGGGACATCTTCAATTAGATCAAGTTGAATGTTTCCATGGATGGGGCATCTGTCACCTCTCTGGGCAACCTGCTGTTCCAGTGTTTCACCACCCTCATTGTAAAAATTTTCTTCCTCATATCCATTTAGATATTGGTACTACAGACATACAGAAGAGGAAGCTAACGGAGGCAATTCTGTCTGGAGATACCAGCAAGCTGATGAAGATCCTCCAGCCTCAAGATGTTGATATTGTTTTAGATGGGAACTCCAGCCTTTTGCACTTGGCTGTTGAAGCTGGTCAAGAAGAATGTGTCAAGTGGCTCCTCCTGTACAACGCTAACCCTAACCTCACCAACCAGAAAGGATCCACCCCTCTTCACATAGCCATTGAGAAGAAAGTTAAAAGCATCGTGGAGCTGATTATGGCTAGGAAAATCAACGTTAATGCCAAAGATGAGGACCAGTGGACTGCCCTTCACTTTGCTGCCCAAAAAGGGGATGATTTCAGCACCAAAATGCTGCTTGATAAGAATGCCTCCCTAAACGAGGTCGATTTTGAAGGCAGAGCCCCCATCCACATAGCCTGTCAGCACGGCCAGGAGAACATCGTGCGGATCCTGCTGAGGAGAGGCGTCAACGTGAACATCAAGGGGAAGGACGACTGGGTGCCACTGCACTACGCTGCCTGGCAGGGCCACCTCCCCATCGTGAAGCTCCTGGCCAAGCAGCGGGGAGCGGATGTGAACGTGCAGACCGTGGACGGAAGGACCTCGCTGCACTTGGCCGCCCAGCGAGGGCACTACCGCGTCGCCCGGCTCCTCATAGACCTGGAGTCGGATGTCAACGTCCAGAATGCCCTCCTGCAGACTGCCCTGCACATAGCTGCTGAAACCGGCCACACCAGCACCTCCAGGCTGCTCCTGAAGCACGGCGCAGACATCGAGGCAGCCACGGCAGAGGGATACACGGCTCTGCACTTGGCGTCGCGCAGCGGCCACTTGGCCACAACAAAGCTGCTGATGGAGGAAAGGGCCAGCGTTCTGGCCAGGGGCCCGTTAGACAGGACAGCCTTACATCTTGCTGCAGAAAACGGGCACTCCGAGGTAGTGGAAGAACTTGTCAGTGCAGAAAATATCAACGTGCCTGACAGCGAAGGGTTCACAGCTCTTCACCTGGCTGCGCGAGGAGGGCACGCGAAAACAGTCGAGGTTCTCCTGAAGCACGGGGCGCACACTGACATGCCGAGGCCCAAGTGTCACACCCCGCTGCCCCTTGCTCAGCAGAGTAGCAATAGCTCACTTACTGTGTTGTTGAGTGACACTTAAGCCAAAGGTGCCAGACGTGATACTTTTTAGTACCTGGTGTGAGGAGGCTGCTGGAGCTCAGCTCCTCAGGGCCTCCTGCAGCTGTGCAGTGACCCCACCAGCGGTGTCAGTGATGGACTGAGGTGCAGCCAGCAGAAGTTTGAATGTGTGATGAGACTGCACGTGGATGTAAGGCCCCGAGCTGGAGTCTGCCACGCCGTGGTCTGTGTCATTCATTCTGCACATGCCCTGCCCTGGCTGGATCTGGACATTCCCCTCCTGAGAACGTTGTGAGAGAAGGATGTGACTTGTGGGTTCCCCCTGCCTTCTTTTTTTTTTTAATGTGCCAAAATAATTTAAGAACTAACATTATGCTTTTTTATTTTCCTCAAAACAAAACAAAAAGATGTCATAGATTTCTGGTTTACTGCAGTGATCTGTATTTTGGGCTGAACGCCTCCAGTGTAGAATAAATAAAACACCAATCTGCTTGAAGTTAACGCAAGAGATGAGGAAAGAGCTGTTTAAGATAATCATGTTTCTGGTACTTTTTTTAATGGAGACATTGATTACAGATTTCCATGTACTCAAAATTTACGAGGCAGACTTAATAGCAATGCAGGATTCCAAAAATAATAAGCAGCAGTAAAAGCTTAACACTGGTGTCTTCATATGCAGTACCACCTTGTGTGTATTCTAAAATCAGTAAGCTGAACTAAGTGCTTAGTGGTTTGTCTTAAATAAACAAGTCAAAAGCTAAAATTCATACTGGACTGCAACTGGATGGTATATTCTCACACTGCTGTACCAATTTACGAAACAATGTTTGGAGGGGCCGATGACCAGACTGATATACTGTGTATATAGGATTTCTACCTGTTGTATGCTTTTTTCTACTGAAGAAAATAGATTGCTTAGAGTGGGTATGTTTTAATACGCCTTTTAATTTCACTCTTTTCAAAGTACAAATGTGATCTGTTATTAATAAAAGATTGTGTTCTATATCTGTCTGTATTTTGTAGTTGTTAAAGCAACTGAAAACCCATTGAGCAGCAGCAGCACACGACTGTCATGTGTTTAATGATCATGGAATCGTAGCATGGCCCAGGTTAGGAGGGACCTTTAGAGATCATCCAGTTCCAACCCCCTTGCCATGGGCAGGGACACCTTCCACTAGACCAGGTTGTTCAGAGCTCTGTCTTGAGTTTTAAGGCAGTTCACTGACTGCAAGTAGATGGTGAAGCCACGCTCGTGCCAATACGTGGAGGTTACAAAGCAATACCCCTGTTAGCAGAGCATGGCAGTCCCAGCAAGCTCCTGAAGCTGCTGACAGTGAAGCTTCTCATTAAACAAACAAAACTGTATTTTTCCTACTGCTTCCTTCAGCTTCTTTTGAGACCAGTAAGGTGGTCATGTTTCATTAAGCTGTGCTTAATCAGTCTCTCATTATAGCAAATGCAACCGCAGACCACTTGATCTCTTAGCACTGTGCTTAAACCCTTGGCCTGGCCTAGCACACACCATTCCCTTCTATTACAGAGTACCCTGAACAGTGAGATTTGAGATACTTTAATTCCAGTGTCTGCCAGAACTGCAAAAGAGCTGTAAGACCAGGGAACAGCAGTCTTGCACCTTGTAATAAAGGTGGTTCACACTAGCAAGGCAAGGGGAAAGTACACTTATAAAATGCTTTTAAAAGAGCTCAAGCAGTGCTTTGCTAGTACATTCCTTCAGTGCCTAATAATAATAGCACATTAGCTTCTAATTAAACATGAGGCCACACTCATGAGTCTTTGTTTCCATGCTGTCTTTCACAATAACAGGCACCAGCTATGCATTACATAGAAGGCAACACAGCTGGCACTGGACAAAAAAACAACCAAGGGGTTGCAATGACATGCTTCCACTGTTGGAGTGGGTATTTGTCCCTGTGAACCAGCCTTCCTTGGGGCCAGGAGGGGTGAATGGGGGTGCTAAATCAGCACTAATGCAGCAATTAGGAATTGCTGTTTTGTAAAGGTCTCCTACGGGTGACTTTTCTGGTTGATTGTGCATCCTTTAACTTTGTTCAAGTCCTAACTGTGCTGTTGACCTGAAGCTTACAGGCATTTCTTTGTCTCTTTCCAATCTTAGATGTGTTCTTTAGAACACCCTGCAGGCTTGGGAGGTGGGTTTGGGAGGTGGTGTGACTTCGTGGAGGGCTCCATGGAGCTGAGCCTTGCTCCAGGTCCCCTGTGCTGCCTGACTGCTCCCTGGCATCAGACAGGGCTGGAAGATTAATATCAGCACCTCTTGCTCGCCTCCAAAATCAGGCAGAGGCTGCTTGCAGGGCTTCTGTGTGCACTGTGCCAATTTGCTTCCTTAGGGCTTCTGACCATGGCCCTGGGTGGCTCTTTCAGCCCAAGGAGCAAAGAATGTCAGAAAATAAGAAACAGTGAAATGGCTCTAGTGACCATAAGCTTCATCTTTTTGTCTCTAGACATGATTTTTCAGCCTGGCCTCTGCCCACACACCTGTGGCAGCACAGTCTGGGTTCCTGCCAGCACCCGCTGGTGCCGGCTCCCGCACCATCCCCATTCCTCACTCCTCCATCCCAGCCTCTGCCTCCGGGGGATAGCACAGCCCCTGATGCATTACCTGTCTCTGCAGCAGTTTGTTCCCAGCGCCAGGCAGCTTTATTTACCTGCTGCTTAGCACGGGGCACTCGGCGCCGTGTTCCTACAGGCCTCGGGAGGACTCAACAAGCCTGCGGTTCAAACACGCTGCTGGGCCAAGGGGAGGGAATTGCTGGGTGATTGCAAAGAGGCCCGGAGGCAAACCTCAGCCCTCTCGTTCCTGCCTCACCTCTTGCACCACCTTGGCTCTGCTCAACAGGGTTGCAAGAAAAACAAGGCATGTGGGAGCTGCTCTGCAAGGTCTCCCTTAGCGGAGAGATTGGGAGGGGGGGCTATCTCCTCTCCTCCACGCTCCTTTAACCCCAGCTGGGTGGCGTAAGATACATGGATGTCCCCAAAAATCCCAGGAGAAGCCTTTGGGTGCCACAGTGCTCATGGGGTGCAAATCTGTGTTACCTCCCTGGCAGCACCTGGGCTCAGCTGCTGATCAGATCCTGTTGTCCCTGTGCATTAGGGAGAGGGCATCCAGCCTTTCCCCTTCTTTAACTTTCATCAAGCAGTGTTCGTTTTGATGTGTTTCTTTGAAGGAGACCCACACAAGCAAGGGAGACAGAGCAGGGGGCTTCTTTTACACACAAGTCCTGGGGCCAGCGGTTTGAGGGAATATGTCAGCCGCACTTAGCCTGTCCTGTTCTTGGGCCAAAACCACCCACACGTGCACCCAGGGCTCTGCAAGAAGCCTTTGACCACTTTTGCAACACCAGCTTGGTACTGTGGAGGGATGGATCATGCACTGCCTCCCCCTCTCCCTGCTCCTGGGATGCACTTTAATCCAGGGCTGTGGCAAAACACCGAACATTTAGCTTGGAAAAGGTCTCCGGGACCATCGAGCCCAACCATTAACCCAGCACCGCCAGGTCCAGCACCATTGTTGACCTGAGCAAGGGAGAGATTCACACCCCAAAGCGAGCGCTGATTAAGCAGGGCAGGGTAAGAGCACAGGAAGCCCTTTCACAGGGGAGGCGGCGCAGGCAGATCCCAACACGTTGGGCTGCTGTGGCTGCTCAGCGGCTGAACATCAGGGGCTGCTGGCACAGAGTGGTGATGGAGAGAGGGGTGGGGAGGCTGTGCCCTGGGGAGGTTGGCACAACACCAGGCTGGGCTGGGAAATGCTGCTGCACCAGGGAAGTCCTGAGCTCATAGGGAACCACTCAACAGGCACTTGAGGGAAAAAAAAGGGTTTAAAATCAGTGCTGTCACCAGCTTATTTACCTGGTGTTTTTGAATTGCTGTGGGAGAGGCTGTCAGGCTTTGCTCTGAAGTGATGTAGAGCAAAGACCATTTAAAAGCTAATAAAGAACAGCTTGTGATCTGTGCAGAAACACCTTGTCTACGAGACTTGAGTTGAAACATGCAGAAGCATAAGACGCATACTACAGCTGTGGCAATGACAAGGGCAAAGATGCTCTGCCCTCTCCCCTGGAAGAGCAGGCAGGAGCCCGTTTGCTCTGCCCCAGAGGCAGAGTAATCCTTGACCGTGACAGGAATAAGGGCCATGGGCCAACTCAGAACATGCACAAGGACAGAGATTTACCTGATGAGTCCCCCCTGCCCCATTCTCCATTACCTGATCGGATCAGAGGAAATAAACCCTGGCAGAGCCAGTTTTCACATGAGTTCATGCCCTGACCCTGCCTCAACAGGGACTGGGTCCAATACTCTTCCCTTTTATCTATTTAAATAGAACTGCTTTTCCTAGTCCACTAACAGGCAAAACATGCCAAGTCCTGTGCTGCATCACTGATGTCTGACGTGTTTTAAAACCCCCAGTGAGCCTGGCTTTGCCCCAGCACCACCTTGCTCTTTGCAAAGATGCTTAGCTAGGGGCACTGTAGGAGGTTAGGCAAGCCACAAATATAACTGACATTGGGAACTTCTATCGCAGATTCTATATCCAAAAGCACACGTGCACTGGGATTTAGGCATTTGCAAAATCAAAGTCTTGACGTTTGTCTGTGGTGAATATAAAGGCTGGTTCAGCCTAACCTGAGTTGCTCTGCCAGTCTTGGCAGCTCACAAAAATCTGCAACGTCTTTCTTTAAAAAGGAAAAAAAAAATTGAAATCTAATCAGCAGACTAGTTGATCCCAAATTAAAGATGCCAGATACCCCAAGATTAACTTTACCTGACTACCAACTTCCCAAAGCAGTATCTTCCCAGTTGGTCCTTATTGCTGAGCACAGCTGCACCCCTCTGCCTGGAGTACAACTTGAGTAGTACTGTCAGGATTGGTGGGAGGTACCTGGCTTTCTCTCCATGTTGAGGCTCCTTGTTTTTCCACACAAGGACATGTGAGCCTACACTCCAACTGAACTCCCTTATGTGGAGCAGGAGGGAAGAGGAGGATGAGGAGGAAGCTGCACTGCATTCCAGCTGATACAGTGATAACCATGCCCTGGGGGAGCAGAGCAGCAAAGGACCACTGACCACTGATGAGCAGCCAGGGCTTTCTGTCTCTACTTAACCTAAATCCAGATTCAGATGATGGTTTGTTAAGGGAAGGCAGTACTGCTCCATTGCTCACCAAGTCAAACCACTCTCAGGACCATCCCTGCTCTCCCTTCACCCTTTGGGCTTCTGACACATTTGTCAGTGCACCAATTCCCAGGGGAGAAGTTTGTTTTAGTGCAGCAAACCAGGCCAACCAGTGCAGATGCAGACAAGCTCTCTGGCCACAGCTACAACCCGCAGCGTGCACCTCCCTCCCTTTCACCAGGGCAGTGTTTTCTCTGCCGAAAAGGTCCCAGCTCTGGGATGTTCCCAAAGCAAAAACCTTTGCAGAGTTGGTAACTCAGGTGCTCACTGCCCATCTTTGTCTCTGCCAGCTTTGAGGAAGCAGAGAGGTGCAGAGCTGCTCTGGGCATCCCCTTCCAAGGCCACAACAGTGCCAAGGACACAGCCCCAGACACGCTTTCAGCACAGCACCTTCTCCCTTTCCTTCCCAAAGGCCTGCCAGGACTAGGCAGCTCTGCAGCAGCCCTTTGCCCTGGGTGGCACTCGCTCGGCGTGTGCCGGCACGCACCGCGCCACGGGTGGCTCCGGCTTCACCGCCGCTGCCTTTCCATCACGGGAGAATCCTGCCCAGACGGGGCTGGCTGAGGTTTGCCAGCCAGTTTTTTTGGCAGGGAGGTGGCGTTGCAGATGCCACTGGACTTCATCCATTCGTTTCTCCTCATTAGCAACCAAAACAGCGGCCCGAGCCAGGGTGCAGCCCGGCGGTGAAGGCAGCGGTAATTAGCTGTGCTGGCAGCACACCCAGCAAAGCAAAATGGCTGGGGAGCCTTCGTGGCTCAG